GGGGGGGGGGGGGGGGGGGGGGGGGTTGGGCCGTCTCTTTGGCTCTCCGCCTAGGTGCAAAGAGGTCCACGGATCTCGCTGGCCCGTGGAGCTGCAAGCACCGCTCCTTAAACTCCTGCACCAAAGGGGGGCATCTGTCTTTCTATAGGCTTGTTGGCTGAGGGCGTTGGGCATATAATACAACATAATATAATATACTATAATATACTATAATATACTATAATATACTATAATATACTATAATATACTATAATATACTATAATATACTATAATATAATAAAGGCTTGGGTGTAAGGCAAGGCTTCGACCAAAGCCTCAAAGCTGATCAGGTGGTCCCCATCGGCGTCCAAGCTATCGAAGAGCGTCCATGCATCCATGGCATTCATCTCGATTGCACCGAAGAAGGCTCTCATGTCCTCCTCCTCAAACATGCGCTCGAACTCGGTGATGGTGATTTTCCCCGCCCCTGCCTTGTCCAACTTCTTCCACAAGTCTCCGACGAGATCTTTCAGTTTGTACATATTTTGCATGAGTGTCTCGTGGTCTTTTTCCCGTGTCTTGATGGCACTATTCACAAAAACTCCTGTGATGACATTGAGAACGGCCAGCCCACAGAAAGCAATGTACAGGTGAAAGAGCTGTACCCAGAATTCGCCCAAAGGCAGCAGAGCGTCAGCGGCTACGCTCCAGTCAAAGCCATTCATCAATGCACGGAAGAGTGTTGTGCAGGAATGAAAGACGCTCCCAAAATACAGCTTCAAGTCCGCATCGTCTAGCTCGTCGAACCAGAACCTAAATTGTCAGCATGGCTGCGCATCGCTGCCTTCTGTTCTAAAGGCCTTTTCCCGCCTTGCTGACTACCTGCCACTGTATGACGATGTGCGGGCAAACCACTCAGAGAAATGCTACGACACACGCACAGACAATGCAAAGAACCAAAGAGACAGGGGCGACATGTAGACACAGACGGACCGAGGGACATACGATGAAAGACACGATCACAGCCCCTATGTATAGACATAGGCATATGTGTGTATAGGAGATGTACACGCAGGTATATACGCACAGACATGTGTGTATACATACATACATATGTATACATATGTATACATGTGTATATCTATACTGTGCAGACACAGACACGGAGACACACGTACAAAAGACAGCGCGGAACTCAGAGAGAAAAACACATGAGCATGCGGAGATGCGACTCGGGTATCCATGTGTTCTCTTCCACATGCCAGGCTTCATCTGTCCCAAATGCGAGCAAAGCCACAGGTGATAGAGAACGGCATCGGTAAAGAGGATGCCAAAGCTGTAGATAATTAGGATCAGCAGGACCATGGCCCACAGCCTGCATCGGGGTTTAGACGTGCTCCCAACCCCCCCCCCCGCCCCTTCTGGTCTTGGGCTGTTTCGGGCCTTGCAGTACAAGGGGCCTTGGACTTGGACTTGGGGCAACGTGGCTTTCTGTTCTGTTCTACTTGTGATCTCCTTAGGGTTTAGGGTTTAGGGTTTGGGGTTCAAGGTTTAGGGTTTAGGGTTCAAGGTTTAGTGTTTAGGGTTTGCGTTGGCTTAGCATGGCAGGCAATTGCAGCAAGCATTGAGGCTCTACTACTCACGGCCAGGGCTCAGTTGCCGCGTCGTGTCGATCACCGAGTAGACCAGCGCGCGAAAAGCGCTGACGAAGCGAACCTCATCGTAGCAGGTTCGGGGTTGAAAGCTCCGGTTGAATACTTTCTTGGGTGCAATTTCTCTTGTGCACTACCAGACTATCTATCTTGTTGTTGTCCAGTATGCATGCCTACATCTTGAGATAAGGATGGTTGGGTTTCTGAAAATAGGGGACCCTAATATAGTACCCTAAATAGTAGGATCCTTATTATAAGAATCCCAAAATAAGGTACCCCAATTTTCGGAAAGTCTCAGATGGATACACGTAACACCGATCCGTGCAAGGCCGAGCCGCGATTCGCACGGATCGCAGCACCTGAAGCAGCCTGGTGAGCTTGAACACCTGCCAGACGAACTGCAGCGTTGCGGCCGTAACTGTTGCAGTACTAGTTACTAGTACTAGCCAGGGTGAGAGCCTGGTATAAGCACTCTTATGATAGGATGATAAATTATAGGCGGGGAAGTTTTATGTTCGAGTGCACAGGGCAGCCGCAGGAGGTTTGCTCACGAATCCCTAGGCTTCGGTGAGGGCTCGGGGTATTCTGGAGCCGGTGGGGAGCCCACCCGGATGATGCGGAAGTTGCTGGCTCCCGTCCCCGGCTCCGTAGCATTGGCAGATGCGATGTCCATGCAGATTTCCACCCAGGCCGGAACTACGACCTCGGGCGAGGTCGTGAACTTCCCTTTTTTAGGAAGACCCCCGAAGGGGAAAAATTCGCACAGATGCTTGCAGCCCGGCAACAAATATATCCAGCCAATTCCAAGCGCATGAGTGCCCAAAGAAGTACGTCTTCGGACCGGTTGCGATGAAGCGGATTGACATCTCCTAGGACGGAGGAGGAGGTATCAGCCAACACTACAAGCTCGCTATCCTTCTTGGTCTTGATGCATTTGACCACTACCACCCGGGTTGCATGGTGTTGCTTGTGATGTGACTATACTCTCACAATACCTGCTGCATCATAGGCAACTGGATGCCGGAAAAGTTGCCTCATCCAAGAGACTAGCGAAACGGATCCTGCGGCAATGATGGCCAAGACAGTAGCAAAGCACCGGCCGAGGCTCCACCGAGAACAAGGTCGCATAGATCAGGTGCCCGGCAAGAAACCTGTAGGGGTTTCGGGGTTTAGGGTTTAGGGTTTTTTTGGTGGTTTAGGGTTTAGGGTTTAGGGTTCAGGGTTTAGGGATGCACGCAAAGACACGACGGAAATTGGTCGAACTTCGTAGTCAGGAGAGCTGTGTGCAGTCGTCAGAGATGGATGAACTACTGCCTGCACCTGCAAAACACATTTGGGGGTTTCCGACAATAGGGGGCCCTAATATAGCACCCTCAATACTAAGATCCTTATTATCAGGACCCCAAAATAAGGTACCCCCAACTTTCTGAAAGTCCCATTACTCACATAGTAACCCTTATGGTACCCTTATAGGAACCTTATAGAAGCCCTTATAGATCCCTTTCTGGGACCCAGGGCCCCTCTCTTTGAAGAACCCGGAGATCCGGATGCCAAGCAACGCTGGCTCCACGAGTTGATCCACCTTAAGGGAGAGCCAAGGCAGAGAAGGGTTTAGGGTTTAGGGTTTAGAGCTTAGGGTTTAGGGTTTAGGGTTTTTTGTTTTTTTTTGAGCACCTTTTTCC